TAGAACTGTTCTAAATCTTGATTTGGGGTGTTGGTAACACATACGTAAATATCTAGTGATTCACTTAAGATTTGAGTATTTTACTGTATGTAGTGCAGTACTGCACCTCAGTGTTTTGTTTTTTTTTTTAAGATTTTATTTATTTATTTGAAAGACAGAGATCACAAGTAGGCAGAGAGACAGGGGGAAGCAGGCTCCCCGCTGAGCAGAGAGCCCGATGCGGGGCTCCATCCCAGAACCCTGGGATCACGACCTGAGCCGAAGGCAGAGGCTTTAACCCACTGAGCCACCTAGGCGCCCCATCCTCAGTATTTTTTAAAAAGCAGATTTCCCCTGGCCAAGTCCTAGCATACAGATAGTGAGGGTTGGGGTGATGTCATGCCTCTTGGTGAGTGGGGTTGGGGCACAGTGGCTGTAGGCCTAGAAATGCGGCCAACATCTTTTGGGTGTCCTCTGCTCTATCTTCTCCAAGATCCCCCAGGACACACATACAAAGACAGGCCTCCAGCAGCCGTTCTAACAAATGAGCCCATCTTTTCACTCTACCACTATATCTATCTATCTATCTATCTATCTATCTATCTATCTATCTATCTATATCTCCCACATTTTCTTTATCCATTCATCAGTCAATGGACATTTGGGCTCTCTCCATAGTTTGGCTACTGTTGATGATGCTGCTATAAACATCGGGGCCCAGGTACCCCTTCAAATCTGTATTTTTGTGTTAAGATTTTATTTTTAAGTAATCGCTACACCCCAGGTGGGGCTCGAACTTACTGAGCCAGTCAGGAGCTCCCGATCCCGTGTTCCTTTTGCTCTTGGTCAGGACCTCTGCTGATTAGAATTCTTTGGGCTGTGTCATGGCCCAGACTTCTATTCCGGAGATATCTGGGTCTTGATGGGTCTGCCCCTGTGCTGGGTTACTAAAGTCTTTACTAACTTACTCCTGACTGCTGTTAATTTTCACAACTGCCTGTGACAGTAACGGGAGGCAGCCCAGGCATTTCCTGAGCTCTACATGCATTCCTTCTGCTCCCTCTGTGTCTTACCACACTCTCTGGTCTAGATTGTCAGGATACCCAACCAAAATCAGTAATCTCTTTTGAAATATTAAAGTATACACAGAAAAATTCATGCTTTACAGTGTATAGTTCTATGACAAACGCATATATCGTGTCACCACCACCACCACAACCAAGATACAGAACACTTGTATCATCCTAAACAATCTCCTCGGATGACCCCTTTGTAATCAACCCCACCACCAGAGCTGTGCTGGCAACCACAAATATGTTTTATTCTCTAGTGTTTTGGCTTTTCCATAATGTAATAGAGATGAAATCAGACAGTATGTACTTAAATTTTTTCTTTTTTTTTTTTATGGCTTCTTAGCATAATGCATTTGAGATTCATGCATGTTGTGTCAGGCTTAGGGAGTTCGTTTATATTGCTGGCTATGGTGTGTTGTGTGGATGGAACCATAGTGCGCCTATCCATTCCCCGGCTGAAGGACAGTTGGATTATTTCTGAAAAGTTTTGGCAATTATTAATAAAGCTGTTATACGTAGGGGCGCTTGGGTGACTCAGTGGGTTAAGCGTCTGACTTTTGATCTCGGCTCAGGTCTTGAGCTCAGGGTCTGATCTGAGGAATTCTGATCTGATCTCAGGAGTTCAAGCTCTATGTTGGGCTCCTGGGCGTGGAGCCTACTTAAAAACCAAACCAAAACAAAACAAAACCCCCAAAACCAAAAAGGGGCATCTGGTGTGGCTCAGCTAATTGAGGGCTGAACTCTTGATTTTGGGTCAGGTCATGATCTCAGGGTCATGGGTTCAAGTCTCTAGTGGGGTTCCACGCTCAGCAAGGACTCTGCTTGCGATTCTCCCTCTCCCTCTGCCCCTCCCCTTCCCATGCACACTCTCTAAAGTAAATAAAATAAGGCTTTACAAAGAGAGAGAAAATAAAGCTGTTATACATACTCATGTATAAATTTCTGTGTGTGTGCAAGTTCTCAATCCTCTGGGGCAAACACTCAGGAGTGAGATGGCTGAGTCTTATGGCAAATGTTTGTTTCAATGTCTCAAATATGTCAGACTGTTTTCCAAAGGGGCTGAACTAATATGTATTCCTTAAAAAAAAAAAAAAAAAAAAAAGCATTCCTACCAGCAAAGTAAAAATATTCCAATTGCATTCCACATCCTCACCAGCACTTGGCACTGCTGATTTTTTTGTTTTTTGGGTTTCTTTACTTTTTTTTTCTTTTTTCCTGTTTTGGTTTTTACTTAAAAAAATTTTTTTTAAAGATTTTATTTATTTTACAAAGAGAAACACAGCGAGAGAGGGAACACAAGCAGGGGGAGTGGGAGAGGGAGAAATAGGCTTCCTACTGAGCAGGGAGCCTGATGTGGGTCTTGATCCCAGGACCCTGGGATCATGACCTGAGCAGAAGGCAGGCACTTAATGACTGAGCCACCAAGATGCCCCTGTTTTTTTTTTTTAATTTTTTAGTAGTGAAAAATCAGAAACTGACAAAATACTCTAGAAAGGGGAAATAATTAAACACATGATTAAATGATTACATACTCTGTATCAATATACAAGTATTAAAATCATGTTTTTGAAAAAATAGTAATATGAGAAAATATTAATGGTGTACAGCTAAGTGAAAAAATTAGGTACTAAATTGTCCAACTGTGTAAAGCAGTATATGCAGAAGGAGGGAAAAGCACCAAAATGTTAACAGAAGTAGTAATAGTGATAAACATTTTGAGTACTTTTATATGTGAGTCCCTGAGCCAAACAGTTTACATATGTTATTTTACCTAACCTTTATATGATAGACACTATTTTTTAAAAATATTTTATTTATTTATTTGAGAGAGAGAATGAGAGAGAGGGAGAGCATGAGAAGGGAGAGAAGGTTGGAGGGAGAAGCAGACTCCCTGCTTAGCAGGGAGCCTCATGTGGGACTTGATCCTGGGACTTCAGGATCATGACCTGAGCAGAAGGCAGTCACTTAACTAACTGAACCACCCAGGCACCCGGATACTATTTTTATTTTTTTTATTTTTTTTATTTTATTTTTTTATTTATTTATTTGACAGACAGAGATCACAAGTAGGCAGAGAGGCAGGCAGAGAGAGAGGAGGAAGCAGGCTCCCTGCTGAGCAGAGAGCCCGATGCAGGGCTCGATCCCAGGACCCTGGGATCATGACCTGAGCCGAAGGCAGAGGCTTTAACCCACTGAGCCACCCAGGCGCCCCCGGGATACTATTTTTAAAAAGATTTTGTTTATTTATTTGAGGGAAGGGGAGGAGCAGAAGGAGAGGGACGCGCAGACTCCCACTGAGTGTGGAGCTCCCTGGCGCCCCCTTTCCCTATCTCCGGACGCTGAGATCATGACCTGAACTGAAACCAAGAGTCACTCAACCACCAACTGAGCCACCCAAGCGCCTCTCTGATAGATACTATTATCCTCCCCACTTTACAGATGAAGAAACTGAAGCTTAAGAAGGTTAAATACACAGTCACATAGGTCGTAAGTGGCTAACTCAATACAGATTTGTCTAAAGCCAAAGACTGTGTTTTTTAAGGTGATCATGGCTCTCCCTAGTTCTTGGGGTTGTGCATGATTTCTATTCTTCTATGTAACTTTCCTGAATTTTCCTGTCTCTCTACATCAAACATGTTTACCTATGCAGTCAGGAGAAATATATATATTGAAAAAGAGGGGTAAAAAAGAGATATGCAGGGGCACCTGGGTGGCTCAGTGGGTTAAGCCTCTGCCTTTGGCTCAGGTCATAATCTCGGTCCTGGGATCAAGCCCCGCATGGGGCTCTCTGCTCAGCAGGGAGCCTGCTTCCCTCTCTTTCTCTCTGCCTACTTGTAATCTGTCAAATAAATAAATAAAATCTTAAAAAGATATGCAACAAAAACATAAACAGGAAAAAACATAAAGGAAAAAGGTACTGTATTGAACAAATCATGTGTAAGGTTTGGGAGGCTTCCTTTGGGGTACTTCGTAGTTGTTATGACACTATCAGTCTGCATTGCAAATATACATATGCATATACATGTATGTAAGTATCTCACCATCTTTGAGGGCAAGGGCTCTGTCATTTTTATCTCTGTGGTTTTGCTTAGGGAAGATATCCTCCAACATAGGGCTTAGGACATAGTACGCTCTTAGTAATTGTTGTTTGAGAGAAGCCACAGAGACCAGAAACCAGTGACCAGAAGACACAATCAGAAAAGGTTTTGCTGGACTCCAGGGGGTTGGGAGTTCTGAGAAGGCGACTACGGAGCCAGGGAGGGTTTGCATGGGACTGGGGTGGGGGTGGGGGAACAGATAGTGCTCAGGACGAGGTTTTGGTTTTGCAGCAGGAATTGAGCGGGAGGACTGTGACAGTGACGGTCGCAGCCCCAGCCTCCCAGTTTTTGGAAGCTCTCCCACCCACACCCCGGCCCTGGCGCTCAGGAGGGTTTAGGAAGGTCTCAGTTTCCTGTGGCTGGAGTGCGCGATGGGCGGGCCGGGCGCTCCCCGCCCCTCCCCCGGCCGGGTCTCGGCTTCCGAAGCCTCCTCTGACCCGATTCCCGCGGCGCTGGCCGCGGTGCTGAAGCAGCACTTTCGTAGGCGGGAGAAAGGAGGGACCGAGCCTCGCGAAGAGGCGGAGCTCTCTGGAGCCGGGAGCTGGAAATGGGGGGAGGGGCAGGGCGGCGCCAGTAGGCCCAAGACCCTGGCAGGCTGGAGAGGAAGAAGACAGGAGACAGCCTGGCTAGAGCGGACAAAGGCATCTGGACAAGCTTACGCTGAAGAAACCAAGGTTGTCTTCCTGGTCTTATTAATCCTCTTTCTTCTTCTTGGAGGAACCCTCACCTTGTATCCTTACCTCAGCCTCCTTCCCGGCCCTGCTAAGGAGTGACCCACTCCTAGGCCTCTGTCTGCTAAGCCACTGGCTTACAGTCCACAGGATCCCAGCCTAGGGCCTACGTCCTCACCATGGTGAAGTTGCTGCCTGCCCAGGAGGCAGCCAAGATCTACCATACCAACTATGTGCGCAACTCCAGGGCTGTGGGTGTGATGTGGGGCACACTCACCATCTGCTTCTCTGTACTGGTCATGGCCCTCTTCATCCAGCCCTACTGGATCGGTGACAGTGTTAACACACCCCAGGCAGGCTACTTTGGCCTTTTCTCCTACTGTGTGGGCAACGTGCTGTCCTCTGAACTCATCTGCAAGGGTGGCCCGCTGGACTTCTCCTCCATTCCCTCTAGAGCCTTCAAGACCGCCATGTTTTTTGTGGCATTGGCCATGTTCCTCATCATTGGCTCCATCATCTGCTTTAGCCTCTTCTTTGTCTGCAACACGGCCACTGTCTACAAGATCTGCGCATGGATGCAGCTGGCTGCAGGTGAGCAGGACTAATGGGAGGACTAGCGGGGCCCAACCCAGGCCACCGGGGAAGCTGCAGCATTCCACCCTCTGTGGATGCTCTGGGTCTCTTACCCAGGTGCTCTCCTTTACATTTATTTTATTTTTTTTTAAGATTTAATTTTTTTAAAGTAATCTTTACTCCCAAAGGGGGCTTGAACTCACAACCCCAGGATCAAGAGTTATATGTTCTACCGACTGAGCCAGCCAGGTGCCCCTCAGCTGTTCTCCTTTAGCCCAGCCATACTCAGTGCTCTGCAGAAGCTTCTGAGGAGTAGAGAATTTTAGAATGGCTGAGACCGAAAGAATTGTTGAGATCAAATTGTTCAACCCCCTCATCTTGTAGATGGGAACTGAGGTCCAGAGAGGGGAAGTGACTTGCCCAGGAGCACACAACTAGTTGATAGAAGGTGTCCTGACTCCCAGGCCACCACATCAGAGGTTGTTTGCTCTGAGAAGGAAAAAGAAGGAAACTTCCATTGTCGGCCATGTGGGAATAGGATCCAACCCAGGGCAAAATTGTCAAGCACATCCTAGATGTCTCCATCTCCCAGTTCTGGGCATTTGCTCTTTCTCCTTTAAGGATCCACAGATCCCTGTCCTCACTCCTTCCCTCCCACCCCAAATTGCTCTCAGGGAGATTCCAAGGTCAGTTATTGATTTGGAGTGTTATGCTGTGACCTTTCCCATAGAAACTTGCATTTAAGTTCCCTTTCATGGTGGAATGAAAGTCTTTGTTCCCTAGTTATAGGTTTCCATACTTGAGGCAATAAATGGGAGTGGTATTTTGTGATGGGGGAGTAGGGTGGTGGCTAGAGTCTTTTTTTTTTTTAAAGATTTTTTTTTTTTAATTTGACAGAGAGAGAGAGAGAGAGAGAGTGGGAGGGGCAGAGGGAGAAGCAGACTCCCCGCCGAGCAGGGACACTGATTTGGGGCTCGATCCCAGGACCCTGGGATCATGACCTGAGCTGAAAGCAGACGTTTAACCAACTGAGCCACCCAGGCACCCCCAGTGCTAGGGTCTTTAAAACTGTGTGGGGTAGGTGGCTACTTATGGTGCCCAGAAATAAGGCCTTCCCTGCCCCTTTTTCTTGCTCCTGGCCCAGGCAGGCCTCTCAGCCCTTGAGCCTGCTGGTCCTGTTCTCTAAGCCTTGTCCTGAAGGCCTTGGTCCCGTCCTATTCCAAGGACCAGGCACAGGCTGCCCATACTGGGAAATGTCTAGGAGCAGTGCTAGGACTGCAGACTGGAGAGAAAACCATCTTGACATCATTGCTTAGAATGAGAAGCAGTATTATCCATAACAGGGGGAGTGAAGCAGGGATCAGAATCCCAGACAACCAGACACATAGACTCAAACGCTCTGTCAGAGTTGGAGGGGGACCCCAGGGAGGTGTAGGTATCCCTGCCAACTACAGTGAGGAATCTGGGAATAAGGAAAAGACTTGACCAAGTCTATAGCAAACCAACCGGCGACTAAGGACCTAGGGGAATTAAGGCAGTGGGTTCTAAGAAACTAGATGTATTCCAAAGACATTTTTATTGAGCCACACATTTACATAGGTATAATGGCTGACCAAGCACTTTCATATATATCATCTGGAGGAACCCCATCCCTACCTTAGTGAGGGAGATATTCCTCTTATTTTATAGATAAGCTCTTAGTGGGTAACTTATCTTTTAGCACAGGTAATGATGGACAAAACCTTTGATTCAAAATCTTGTACTCAGGGTAGTCACCTGGCTCCGGAGCTGCTTCCCCAATCCATCTACCTTCTCCCTCTCCTCTGGTCTCTATACACTGAGGGAGAGGCTGGGGCAGGGCTAAGGTAAATCTCAGTGGGCAGTGGGGGGAAGGCGGGAGAATGAAGATTTAGCAGTTCTGTGACAAAGAAGAGTAGAATGGATCCTGGCATGGTTACCAGCTGGTCCACCGTATCAGAGCTATGGAAGGCTGGAAACACAACCATTTCTCTCATTCTCCATGCTGCCCCCTCCCACAACATCCTGCAGCAAGTGCCATTTGCTGAACAGGCACTGTGCTTGGGAAGGCCTGGATGGGAGAGGCATCAGCAGGCCATTTGAATTAGACTCCAGATCATGAAGCTAGAGACAGTGATAGCAGAGGTGGCCGGATGCCATCCTGTGAAACATTTATGCTGGGGGAGGGTAAAGATGGTGTCATGTTCCATTCTTTAATGGAGGGGAATGAAAGATGAGCCGAAGGGGGGGATGAAGAGGGCAGACAGCAGATGGGACTAAACCAGTTAGTTTACCCTTGCCAAGAAGCCTGAGACCAGGGAGGGGAGCAGGAGAAAGGAAAGAAGATCGATGACTAGGGCAGTGTGAGGCTGTAGTTTAACAATGTTAATCCAGCTTCTGGATGCCAGGTGTAAGCTGTGTGTGGTTCCAGCTCCTAGAAACCCAGGTAGGGCAAGTTGCTTGTCTCTCTGAGTCTTGGTAACCTCACCTCTAGAACGTAGCAACAGACCTCCTATCACAAGGTTCTGGTGAGGATGGGATGTCTAATACACATAAAACACATCAAACACCAGTACTTGACACATAGCAGGTGCTCAGTAAATGTGAAAAAAACACAAAAGCCACTTTATCAGTCAGGATGGATGAGGTAACAAATAACTCCCAAATCTTAGTGGCTTAAAACAAAGCTTCAGTTTTTGCTTGTAGTGCGTGCCCACTGAGGACCAGCTGGGGGCTCTGCTCTCACTGTTCTCTCCTGGAACCCTGGCCGATGGAGCATCTGCTGTCATCTGGCTGGTGTCATTACAGAGCGAAAGGATGCTCTGGAAGGTCTCTCTCTAGTGGTTAAATGCTCTGGCCTGGAAATGCACACATTTTGTTGTCTAAGGGAAGTCTTGAGGCCTTACCTAACTTGAAAAGAGAAGAGCAAGGAAGTACAACCCTACTATGTACGTGAAATACCTGTGAACACCTCTAATGCCATCCACATCCACTGAAGTTGCTTCCATTCACTTGGCTTCAATGCCAATAACAATAGCAACGATGGACAGGGACTGGTTGCCGTGAACCAGATGCTGCCGTGAGCGTTTTCCCTACATGACCACATGTAATCCTTACAGCTCTGCTGTAAGGATTTTTTGGAAATTAGTATTTTAAATAAATATTAGGGATTCGTAAATTCAGGGAAGTGTGAGTAGCTGCACTGACCTGTACTGGGTCAGGATCAAGAGACCTATTTGCTTGAATGAAAGGTTCACAAAGGAAGCAGCCAGAGAGGGGGTTGGAAGACTTTGTGTATTCATTAAATCTAAGATTCCAAGTTGTAGGACATGCTGTTATTCTATGTGCAAATACTTGTTCTTTTTTTTTAAGTAGCCCAAAGCAGGGCTTGAACTCACGACCCAGAGATTAAGACCTGAGCTGATATCAAGAGTCAGATGCTTAACCAACTGAGCCACCCAGGTGCCCAGGAAAAATACTTCTACTCGAACCACAGCCTGAAGCTTTCTTATTATACGTATTTCAGAGATACTGGAGTATGAACAATTGTGCATCTTAGAAGTGATGAGTTCTCTGGGCTGAGAACGGATTTTGCGGGGGTTTGAAGCCAGGGTCGCTAGTGCCTCATCAAGTCCAAAGTTAGGGGCGTGGCTGCGGGCCTGGTAGGACCACCTGGTGCCATGGCAGAATTTTCCCTGGGCTGGGGAGCTCCACTTTCTGCCTCTATTCCTGACCAAAGGGAAGTCATTTTAGCTCTTGGATCCTCAATTTTCTCCCCTGGGTTCTACAAGAATGATGGTAGGCACTGCCCCATACCTCTCAAGGCTGTTAACACGAAAAGAAGGGAGGTGACAAGATAGCAGCAGTGCAAGGTGGGAGGTGGCAGGCTGAGCACACCCAGCCTGATGCTGTCTGCCCGCACTTCTGCCCCCTCAGCCACAGGCCTGATGATTGGCTGCCTGGTCTACCCCGACGGTTGGGACTCAAGTGAGGTGCGGCGCATGTGTGGGGAGCAGACAGGCAAGTACACACTGGGCCAGTGCACCATCCGCTGGGCCTTCATGCTGGCCATCCTCAGCATTGGAGACGCCCTCATCCTCTCCTTCCTGGCCTTTGTGCTGGGCTACCGGCAGGACAAGCTCCTCCCTGATGACTACAAGGCAGATGGAAAAGGTAATTCACCATCCCCCTGGGAGGTGGGGCTTCCTCTCCGCCAGTCGCCAGAGGATTGTCCCTAGCCTGGGGTTGGGGACACCAAGACCAATCAGACACAGCCCTTATTCCAGAAGCCAAGGGTCAGTGGGGGTTTACAAGCCAGCAGGTGATGAGAGAGGCTGTCTGTGATAGAAGGGTGTCCTCCTGCCTCCCGCACACCCCCACTCCCATCAGGGTCTACAGGGGGAGAACTCTGATCCAGCCTGGGACCTAGGGATGGCCTCCAGTAGAAGGTGGCACTGAGGCTGGGTCTGGAAGTTCACTGGGAGTTTGGTAGAGAGAGGAACAACAGGTGAGCAGAGGGGCTGAGTTGTTGGGGCAGGAGGAGAAAGGTAGGTTAGGGGGGCAGAAGTGACAGCTCTTGGAGTGCAGATGGTGGGTGCTCCCTTGAGCTGGGGAGAGAGCCTTGGGGTTCTCTGTATGCCATCCTGTTTCAATTTCCGTCCTGCCCAAGTCCTATCCCTGAGTCATAAGAGTCAGTTGTAGCTGACCCAAAGCCAGGCAGACCCTTCAGCCTTTTCTGTTTCCCATTGACCTTTCTTCCTCCTAGGGTACTTTCTGCTCCTGTATCTCATTAGGCACTTCTCCTGTGTTAAGGGGCTTTTTAGGGGCATAAATTTTATCTCCTAGTCATAGGGCAAGTCCTGTCTCACACCCTTGTCAATCCCCAAATGCCTACTTCCAGCAGGCGGCCGCTGTGAGGGGCCTGTGGCTCCACAGAGACCTCTCCAGTCTCCTTTCCCCATAGTTGTCTTCACCCGATTGCCCTGAACTACAAGAAAGAGGCAAACTTCCTTGCCCCCCTCCCCCACATGACCAAGGACCCTTCCCAGATAAGGAACTTGAAGCCCGGGAGGGAGACCCACCCAGAGGCACACAAAAAAGGTGGTGACAAGGAAGACCCAAAATTCTGGTCTTCTCTAGCTCAGCCCAGCACCCACTTCTCCACAAGGAAGTAATCAAACATCTCGTCCTTGTTTGGGAGTTTAAGAAGACTCACACATCTAAGTTTTGTGGTTAAAGATGAAAAGCAAATTACTAGAATGAGCTGGGCCAAGGAAGAGAGAAGAGCGAGGTATCTTTCCATTGCGGGAGCACTTAAGGTCTGGGTCCCTTGTAAACCCCATAAGGGGAAGGGAGAAAGGAACTAGTATTTACTGAGCCTTTTCCATGTGCAGAAGTGATGTGAGTTTTGTTCACAGGAGCCATTTTTATTTAATCTGCACAGCAACCCTGTGAGGACAGGTTGGAGGTGGGGGGGTCCAGCAGCAATGGGCACAGCCAGCATTTTCTCCAGTGATGGAGGGTTTCTCAGGGAAGTTTCAGCAGGAGCTGCTGGAGGCATTTTGTTCAGCTCTCAGCCTCAAGGCTGGCCCAACCTGCCTTAGAATATTTTACATTACTCATGTGCATTCTTTCCTTTTCAGAAGGGATTCTTTCAGCTGGAAAGAAATTCTATTGACATCATTCATTCATTCATTCATTCATTCAATAGGCTCCACACCTAGCATAGAGTCCAAAGCTCACAACCCTGAGATCAAGATGCAAGCTGAGATTAAAAGTCAGACACTTAGGATATCTGGGTGGCTCAGTTGTTAAGCGTCTGTCTTTGGCTCAGGTCCTGATCCCAGGGTCCTGGGATGGAGCCCCACATTGGGCTCCCTGCTTGATGGGAAGGCTGCTTCTCACTCTCCCACTCCCTGTGCTTGTGTTCCCTCTCTCACGGTGTCTCTGTGTCAAATAAATAAATAAAATCTAAAAAAAAAAAAAAAAAAAAGAGTCAGACACTTAGCCAACTGAGCTACCCAGGTGCCGTCACATAATTCCTTTTAAAGTGGTTTCTTTCTTTTTTTTTTTTTTTAAGATTTTATTTATTTATTTGACAGACAGAGATCACAAGCAGGCAAAGAGGCAGGCAGAGAGAAAGGAAGGGAAGCAGGCTCCCTGCTGAGCAGAGAGCCTGATGCAGGGCTTAATCCCAGGACCCTGGGATCATGACCTGAGCTGAAGGCAGAGGCTTAACCCACTGAGCCATCCAGGTGCCCCTAAAGTGGTTTCCTTCTTTTTTTTTTTTAAGATTTTTTTTTTAAAATTCATTTGACAGAGAGAGAGAGAGAGAGAGAGAGAGAGATCCCAAGTAGGCAGAGAG